GACTCCATGAAGTTTGTACTCGAGAAGTAGCTTGCCTTCAGTGGAGGTGAGGCTTGTCGCCTGCTAGCGTATGTCGGGGACGTAGCGCTAAAAAAGGACTCCATGAAGTTTGTACTCGAGAAGTAGCTTGCCTTCAGTGGAGGTAAGGCTTGTCGCCTGTGGGCGTATGTCGGGGACATAGCGCTTGAAAAAGGCTCCATTGAGTTTGTACTCGAGAAGTAGCTTGCCTGCAATGGAGGTAAGGCTTGTAGCCTGTGTGCGTATGTCAAGGACATAGTGCTTGAAAAAGGCTCCATTGAGTTTGTACTCGAGAAGTAGCTTGCCTGCAATGGAGGTAAGGCTTGTAGCCTGTGTGCGTATGTCGGGGACATAGCGCTTGAAAAAGATTCCATGAAGTTTGTACTCGAGAAGTAGCTTGCCTTTAGTGGAGGTGAGGCTTGTCGCCTGCTAGTGTATGTCAGGGACATAACACTCGAAAAGTGTTCCATTGAGTTTGTGCTTCGAGGAGCAGCTTGTCTGCAATGGAGGTTCCATTGAGTTTGTGCTTCGAGGAGCAGCTTGTATGCAATGGAGGTAAGGCTGGTCGCATGCATGTGTATGTTTGTGGGACATAATGCTTGAAAAAATACTTCATTGAAAAGCTTGCTCTTATGTAAGCCGAAGTTGTTTGACAGTTTTAATCAGGGCGATCATGTGTGGAGCAAGGACGTACTGGAAGTCAGCGGCAGATAGGAAGGGGAAGTTGGCGACGGTCGCTCATTCCTCTCACCTACTGGATAGTATCTCTGAAGGTGGTGTGCATTCCATTGTCTTGGAATTTCCTTTCCTTCTAGAGTGTCGAGGGTGTAACTTCCTCTGCCCCCAGGTCGGCTGATCACGTAGGGGCCTTCCCAGTTGGGCTTCATCTTCTTTGACCCTTGCCTTGGTGCTGTGATGAAACTCTTTCTTAGCACAAGGTCCCCAGGTCGAAACTGTCTGATCTTAGCCTTCTTATTGTAGTAGGACGTTAGCTGCTGCTGGTAGGCTGCCACTCGAACAATGGCCTTTTCCCGACTTTGATCTGTTTGCAGTTTTGGTCAAGACTGCCCACCTCAATGCTCATGGAAGGGACTATGATGTGTGGGGCGATGATTGCTTCTGTCCCATAGGCTAGGGAAAATGGCGTCTCGCCGGTTGATCTCCTTTTGGTTGTGCGATAAGCCCACAGGACTCCTGGTAACTCATCGACCCATTTTCCTTCTGCGCCTTCCAGTCTTTTCTTCAAGCAGTCCAGCACGATCTTGTTGGATGCTTCTGCTTGGCCATTACCTTGCGGGTATCTGGGGGTAGACAAGTGCTGTTTGATGCCATACTTCGCAAGGAATGCAGTGATCTGCTTGCCCACGAACTGTGTACCATTGTCGGTGACTATTGACTG